TAGTTATTATGTAGGTTATTATTTTGGAGCGTACATGATGATTGGGTACTTGGACCGTTAGGGTGAGGTGTGGATACAAGGCGCTTCTATGGTTTGGCGCTTGGGGTTGAGATTGTGAAGCTGAGCAAGTCAAAGGGGAAAAGGAGGGACCCTTAATGGGGACCCCTACCCTATAATGCTATAATGGGGCTATATAATGGATATATAATAGCTATATTAAGGGTATATACCTAGGGGTCCTCATTAAGGGTCCCTCCTTGTTCCCTTTGAGCAAGAGATGCATGCTAGAATGTATCCTAGACAGACTCCTTCTTTGCGGATACCACATTGAACCCCAAAACCGCAGCCCTCCAGCCGTGACCTGGACCCCACAGCTCTGCACCGTTCAAGACAAGCCCGGCCACGGCCAGATCCAGCCACACTGACCCCAGACTCCTATCCAGAACACCCAGCCTTAAACCCGAAAAAACCCGGCACTACAGCAATAGTACTGATGGATGAACACGCAGCTGTGCTGACAATAGCAATAAGGATCTAGGATCATGATAAGAGTAGCACGAGGAAAATCAACCATCCGCTAGGTACAGCGTTTCGGGCTCTCGGGTGTTTAGGGTTTCGCTTAGGCTTTTGGGGTTTGCGGAGGGTCTGGGGATTCCGCGGTCATCAGAGCACTACTTGGAGGATCATGCGACTTAGTGAATATGGTTATAAGTACCTTAGTTGGGGTTATAAGTTATCATCAATATAGTTACCTGAAGTATAACCCTCACGCAAGATCCCACACGTCGGGCTTTCGGGCAATGCCAAACACCATACTCGATGAGGCACTTTTCGAGTTCAAGAATGCCCACTTCCAAGTGTGTTTTGCTGCCAGAGGTGTCGACGCGCGCTGCAGTCAGGCCCGCTCATGCAGCGTATGCCTGATCTAGTGTCTTTACGGCCGTGATTGAGTCGTCTCCTTTCCATGCACCGTCGCATGCTGACCGTACTGTGATACTGGGTCAGAAAATCAGCGGAAAACTCCGAATCACAGGTCACCTGGCTGCGTCTGCGTGCCATCGGGGAACAAGGCAATCTTACTTCTCATCTGGGAACGAAGTCCCATGATGCTCTAAGTAATCTTAGCACACAACTCTGATTCGGTTGCTTCGCTTTGGTCGAAGCCTTTCCAGGCAGCAGGCTGGTTGAGACAAGCACTCAAACTAATATTAATGCTAATACAATACTAGTTAGGGTTAAGATTTAGGGCTTAGGGTTTCGGGTTTAGGGGTTTAGGGTTTAGGGTTTTAAATTCTCTGCAAACCCCAATACCTATAGTCTATAGTACTCAGCCTACCCTAAAGTCCTAGCCAGCAAATTCCGGGGTCATGGAACCTAAGAACCTTATGGTAGGCTACTCTCGCGGAATGGGGTTCTTGTACAGGGATTTCACTCCCAAAACGGATTGAGTCTGTCAAACGTCATGTTTCAGATACCGCATCCCAAACTCGAAACAGTGAAGGCAGGAAAACTTAAAATCGCTGCAAGAATTTGTCTAAACCCTAAACCCTGAACCCTAAATCCCTAAACCCTAAACCCTAAACCCCATCCCTGAACCTAAAAGCTCAGGATCCTACACATTGGTCACCATGCCGCGAACGTGCCCTGCAGCCTACTTGGCTACTTGAGTGTATCAGATTCACAGTTTGGGGACGAATGTAGGGGCCATAACAATTAAAATAGGGTTTCGGGGTTCCATATTATATTTTCTAGAATCATATAACCCCCCAACCCTATCTTAATTATTAAGGCCCATCTTTGTAGAACCCTACATTGGATCCCTTTGACGGGAACCCTATTCTACTTACTAAGGCCCCTACACCCTAAACCCTACTTAAACCCTAAACCCTAAACCCCTAAACCCCTAAACCCTAAACCCTAAACCCCACTGTAATCCCAAAACAGCGGCCTGGTGGGCAAAGTTGCCGGGGACGACGCTGTACTTCGATGCGACGGCCGCCTTCTCCAGCTCCTGTCGCTCTCTGTTGCCTACTTAAAGGATCATGGGACTTAGCAAGTAGGTTATAATTGGGGTTATAAGTCCCCGAAGTGGGGTTACCCTAATTATAACCTACTTATAACCTTACTTACTAAGTCCCATGAGCCTTCAAGTACGTGTCGTGTTTAGGTCGTATTTGCCTTGGGCATTTTAGGTTTAGGGTTTAGGGTTTAGGGTTTAGGGTTTAGGGCATTTTAATATACCCCAGAGATTACATGATGCCATATTCCAAAGTCCAGTACTGCCACCACTGCGGCCAACAAACATGCTATTGCTCCGACCGTCATTCAGCAGCACGGCGGCGGCTGCTGCTGCCTTCATCCCCACCATGACCATAAGCTATGGCCACTGCTGCATATTATTCAGGGCGGCAGCAGTAATTCTCGAACAAGTAGAAATCTCATCTTCGAGCAACACCCTAAAGCCTAAACACTGAACCTTAAACCCTCAACCCTAATCCCTAAGCCCTCATCCCTAAACCCTAATCCCAATCCCCAAACCCTAGCCCTAACCCCCAATCCCAATCCCTAAACCCTAGCCCTAAGCCCAATCCCTAAACCCTAGCCCTAAAGCCAATCCTTAAACCCTAATCTCTGAACCCTATTCTCTAATTCCTAATCCCAGTCCCTAAACCCTAACCCCAATCCCTATATCCTAGCCAGCTCTAAAGCCTCGATCTGCAAAGAAAAGCCGAAAAGAAACAAGGCAGAACCCCCCTCATCTCCTGGGTTTCCTGCAGGCTCCGTGCCCTGTCCACGAACTCCTAGGGGTTTAGGGCTTTAGGGGTTTAGGGGTTAGGGTTGGGGGTTAAGGGGTTAAGGGGTTTAGAGGTTAGGGGGTTTAGAGCTTTAGGGGTTTAGGGGTTGAGGGTTTTGGGGTTTAAGGGTTTAGGGGTTAAGTGGTTACAGGGTTTTGAGGGTTTAAGGGTTTAGAGGTTTATATAGGGGTTTAGGGGCTTGGGGGTTTAGGGTTGCCATACATGTTGGCTGACACTTCGCCGTTTAGGATTTGGACTTTTGTGGTTCTGCCATGAAAGTTATTACAGTTCTTGCGGTGTCTACAAGGCTTTTGGCTATTATAGTTGTTATACTTACTGCAATTGTTGTGGCTTACTAACATATACTCCCTAAACCAAACCCTAAAATTACCATAATAATAAGCCCACGTAGCCTGGGCCTATCCTAATTAAGCCCCCTACACTACCCATAAGGCCCCATAGTAGTTCCTTTTGGGGATGACCTTATAGGATTCTACATATCAACCCCAAAAAGGACCTACTATGGGGCCTATGGGTAGAGGTAAACGGGCTTGGGACTTGTGAGTGGAAGTTGTGGCGTCGGGGTTTCGGGCTTTGGGTTCTTCCGCTAAGGATTGAAGCTTTGAGGCGGGTTTAAGGTCCAGTACGACTCAAGCTCCAGGCTTTCTTTTCCGGGGAAAAGTAGCAAAGCTGAGCTCATGCCTCTTCGATAAACGTACAACGGATTACGGAGATTGGAAACACGCATCTTGCCTGTCATTGCGTATGCTGGCAACGGAACTTACATTTAGGGTCTTCGACACGTTCCACTCGGACCCCTCCGAGCTGCAGCCTTGGCTTTGTGGTGCAGGCATAGGGTCCAAGCTGCAGGGCTTGGCGTCTGGGGCACAACACCCTTCGAATCCACACACCTTCCCCAAAATAAGCATTCCGGTCTTCAGCAACCCGAAGCCGCACCATTTTGTGCTAAACAGAAACGACAGTGATTGTGAAATAACAGTATCAGCGATACATGATAAAACATGATGTCAATAACAAGCTGCGGCTTGGTATACAGCGGTGATGATGAGACCAGTGGTTCTACACATCTCGTACCAGCAACACCGCTAAACTCGCTAAACCATAGACCACGAAGGCAAGAGCTCATCCCACAGGGTCTGCGACCCAAAACGCGCGACCCCTAGAAACCCTAAGCCCCGAGCAAACCTAGTATAAGAGCCTTCAACCCCGGAAAACCCACAAGACCATAAACTAAACCCCTAAACCGCTTAACCAAAAGTCTTAAGGCTCGCAGCCCCGAAACCCTATACCCGTATAGTGATACGTATAATGACCCTGATTTTAATGACCCCTATATTCCCGTCAGCCCTTATAAACCCGAAAACTCCTCGGTATGGATCCAAAGTCGGCTCTCCACGTGCGGGTAGCTAGAGACCTTCGAGATATGGTGGCCGCACGCGCTGTCTGTGTTGGCTTTGTTCTACCATCGCGTTTAGGGTTTAAGGTTTTGAGCAGCTTCGTTTATCTTCTGGTTCAGGGTGCACATGGATACATGCATAAATACGTTTCGACACAGGTACATATCTTTTAAATACAGATGTACATGTGCATTCCGCATGCATGCAAATGATTTAATATATATGCATATGTAAACATGTATACACATACATATACCTATCTACCTGGAGACTCGAACGTAGCATAAATTTCTGCCTCCCCCTTGTTCGTAGCATAAATCTGCAAACGTGCCTTAAACCAGGCATTCGTAGCATAAATCATGTTGCACGTGCGTTTCCCCAATAAACGAGCGTTTCTTGGACTTTGCTGCTGTGTCGAATGCTTGCATGATGAAGCCGCAGTTGTGGCTATGATCATAGCTCTTTTGTTGGCCATAGGGGCCGCAGGCCCCTTGCTTTCCGGGAAATCATCCGGTCCCGTACACGTGCGCCCCCCTCGCTGGTGTGTGCGTATATGTGCATATGTATGTAGAGGAAGCAGCAACCGGTCGCCGTAGGAGAATAACCTTAGCTGCTTCGGGAGGTACATGATTTGACGACAACGATCTTGAGGCGCAGTTTTTTGCACTGGGATTGTTCGTGCTTCGTTCGAATCAATGCGAAGCTAGCAATGCTGGGATGATCTCTGCTGTTCTGGCTCCTAGGGGTCTCGTAGGATTTGCTTTGTGGCATTTTGCTGCATCGCACAATGGGCTCACCGGTGGTCCAGTACTGGCTAGCCAATGCGGTTCTAAGCAATCGGGGCTCTGCAGGATGCCTCACGTTGATTGCTGGAGAATCACTGGGGCGAAATGATTGCATGAATAATGCACAGTGCATAATACCAGTGCTGCGCTACCACGGAATGCGGCCAAGCATTGACGCTATTGCACAAGATGTACATGCATTCTTCCAGATGAGTCGTCCCCGCGGCAAACCAGCTATCAAAAGCTGCCCACCCGCACTTATGGCCGAGTAGCCGTGTATGTGCAGCTTGTATCGAGCTTGAACTTCGTGTAGTCGCTGTAGCCCTGCAGTGTGTGACCGCTGAGGTGAACAGGTTCGGATGCAGGCATGGATACTCAAACGCCTGATATCAATTTTCGGGAGGGCAGCTCGCCGTGGACATGTACCCCGGGAGCAAGCAATGCGGAAGATATATTCAGCAGCGGGGATCCCGCTTCCTGAGAGTGCCTCTCATGCACATAAAGCCGAACACAAGCTTACCCTAGGCTTCTTAAGCAGAATCGCGCAACCTCATCCGAGGAGCCAGTGGAGAGTCATCTTCGGGAGATGAAACCGGCTCTGGGGACAGCGAGAACTCTGAATCAGAGTCCGAGTTCAGTGAGGACCCCGCGGTTTCTTCGCATATCTCCAAAGTCAGTCCAAAGTCTACACCCCCCAACAGCGCTAAACCTAGAACCCAGATATACAACCATGAGACCTGAATTCCTACAACCCCCGACAGTACACATATCTGCACCATGAAAGATGCAGTGAGCTAGACGCAACAATCGCGAATGAAGCCCACAATAGAAAACTTACCTTCAGGCTTAACGTTATAATAACCCGATCAGGACGAGCCAGTGAAGGAGCCCGAGCCCAAAGGTGCCTGGGTTTCACATGCTGGCTAGTCGGATCTGGCTTCACGTACTGTATAAAGCCCCTCTTATAAACCCAGCCTCATCCAGGTTCCAAGCATCCATCGGATGCCTCGGAGGTCAAGGAGTCGGGAACAACGGCTTCTGATTTGCCACGTCTGAGCAGCCGAAGCATGAGTTCTTCAGATAATCCGTGGGTTGCGGAGCCGAGTGCAAGCCTCACCCCGACCGAGAAGTTATCCCCTGTGTCTACTGATGAGTGCCCCGCTACCAGAAGCTTGCTTGCATTTTTCAATCATGTACAAGTCGAAGGCAAACTCGAGCAAACCTACCCCAAATCGATCCGAGGAGATCGCCCGCTGCCGCCGGTGCCCCACTTCCTTGACTCCTCGGAGGCAGAGAGCATAATGGCGGAGCTGGCTCACCAGGAGGCGGTGCTAAAGGAGTTACAGGTCATGGAAGAGCTTCATGCCGAAGAACTTGAGTTGGCCAAGTTGCTTTCTAGATTGGATCTTGACCAGCCCGATGCCCTGCTACCCTCCAAAACCACAATCTGCTGCTCGGCTACCTGAATTGTGTGTCTGTCAATAGTACATGGTATTGTGCACGGTATGTATATGGCCAGTGTACTTATCGATCTGTTCAGGTCCCGATCAGGTGGACACGCTCCCCATGTCTTGGGATGATCCCTGCGCTGTGCCTTGGGTTCCTCCGGTTGAGCCCTTGTTGGAGGATGCTTCGAAGCTTGAAGCTGATAGCTGGGCAGAGCTCGGCTTGCACCCGTATGACGGTGACGGTGAAAGCTGCGACGCAAAGCCAGCACTGCATCGAGCTGTGAACATGGATGAAGAGGCTCCCGAGCCCCCCAGTCCAGCAGCATCTGTGAAAGATGCTACTATGGATGATTGCGGTGAAGTGCAAGCTGCTCCTGAGCCTACCGGTTCCATTGCAGAAGATGCTATCGCAGATGATGCCAAAGCAGATGAGAGTGCTGCTGAGCCTACCGGTTCTGCTGCAGAAGGTGCTATCGCAGATGACACCGAAGCAGATGAGAGTGCTGCTGAGCCTACCGGTTCCACGGCAGAACAGGCTATCGCAGATGGCACCGAAGCAGATCAGGCTGCTCGAGAGCCCTCGAGTCCAGATGCTATCATGGACGGTGAGGCAGAGACGTCTTCGGCAGAGCCGGCTGCGTTGAAGCCCCCCGCTTGCTTGAAAGCGCTCATGCCCATCTCACCGGCAGACCAGACGAAGCTTCTCAAGCCCGATCGGGACGGTCGAGGCCGCCGTGGGCGCGGCGGCCGTGGTGGCCGAGGCCGCGGCCGAGGCCGCGCTGGCCGAGGTCGCTGTGAGAGTGATTCTGAGCCTGAAGAGGAAGATGAGTTGTCGGATGACGGGGGTGCTAAGCGGTCCAGGGCTTCCTCTGAGTCTGACCATGACATCGTCAAGAAGGCTCCGAAGAATCGAGCGACTGCCAAGGCTAAGAGCAAAGCCTTGGCCAAACCCAAGGCCAAGGCTGCGGGGAAATCAAAGGCCAAGGCAAAGGCCAAGGCCAAAGGCAAAGCAGTTTCCAAGCATGGGGTGGAGGATGAGGGCCGCGAAGGCCAGGATGAAGCATCGGAGGAGCAGCCCGCCAAGAGGAAACGGCGATCCAGCAAGGAATCCGAGCACCCAACCAAGAAGGCCAAGTGCATGAGGGATGCAAGTGACGACGCCTCGGACAAGGACGAGGAGGACTCGGTTGAAGCCGGCTTCACCGTCAAGGGATCTACCAAGCTATCCCCAGCATCCAAGAGGGCTGCTATCACAAAGGCTGGTGGCACGGTGGTGTGTGGCAGGAAGGCAACCAGGGCTGCTGAGGATTGCAAGAAGCCGACCAAGGCTGCTGAGGATCGCAAGAAGTCGACCAAGACTGGTGAGGATCGCAAGAACTCGACCAAGGGTGGTGAGGATCGCAAGAAGTCAACCAAGGGTGGTGAGGATCGCAAGAAGTCAACCAAGAACGGCGAGGATCGTGGCAAGAAGCCGGGCAAGGCCGGTGGCGATGTCGGTGAAACTGGGTCCAAGTCTGCGGAGACAAAGGCTAGGCTATCAGAAAATCCGTTGCGTACCACAAGGCTAGGGCTGCGGCGAAAGCCGCTGGAGCTTCAGACGAGCAGGCCAAAGAGGCTGCAAAGAAGGTTTCCCGCCACGCAACTAAGTAATGAAATCCTAGCTTCTCCCTCGCTTTCGATCTAGTTATCTTTCGCTCTCTCAGTCTCTCTCTCTCTCTCTCTCTCGTTAACACCGTGAGGCTTACCGCGAGACCGAGTAGATCCAGATCGATTTGGGGAAGGACATGGGTTCATCTGTTCCACTCTGGATATGATCGAGCTTGGCTGTGCAAACCGGGTTGTCATACGGACTACGATGCTGGTCAGAGTATGACTAGGGTATTCACCGTGTGCCATGCACATGTGCTGCCTGCCGAAGACTGTCTCAGCAGCGTCTCACGTGGTAAGTGCCGCAGATGTAGAACACGTGGTGAGTAATTATTTGTGCCGGGCTATAGAGTCAGCCAGAGTGCAGTGGATGTCACCTCGAAGCCGCCGGCTTTGTCGAAATGTGCTGTGCCGCTATGCATGCATCTGCAGTGCTTGTAAATGAATGCATAAACCTTATTAACGCTACCTCCTAAACCCTAAGAGCTACGGGTGGGAGTATTGAATTTTGGTTATATAGGGCCGGCTTGTATATGCCCCGGAGATCCTATACCGAAACCTATTCTGTAAACTCACTAAAAACCCGAACCTGAGCCGTACACCCAAGCTTAAACTAAGATTCGCAATCGTGGCCAGGCAGATGCCGAAGGCTGAGGGTTGGGCCATCCGTGGTGCCATCTCTTCAGGAGGCGCCCCAGGGCCTTTGCGCACGTGATTCGTTTGGCCATGCATGCTGATCGATGCATACTTGAATCCTTGCAGTGTTTCAAGCCCCAGCTGCACGAGAGGGTCCAGGGTGTTGCATCACAGTACCGAGCAAGATGCATCAAATAGCTTGGTTGGTAAATAGACATGGATGGTCTTCGTGACGAGTCTATCGTCGTCAACCTGATACAGGCAGGTGCCCCCAAGGTGGGGTGTGTCTTGCATCATGGTTCTGATGGTAGCACAGCAAGTACATGTACAGTCTGCACACATGAAGCATGCAGATCTTCATCGGGATACTGCTTCTCATTATCTGGTCCGAGAACTTGCCGGACCCGAAACCTCGATATTCTTTCTTCGACTTGTTCGCTGGGAAAGCACAAGCATCTACTGTCTGGTACAAAGCTTAGCCGTACATGGAGATGTGGATGTGTATTGTGCATGTTTTACGCATGCATGTATACATGAACTCATGCAAAAGCCAGTTTTCCAAGGAAGAGAGCGGGCCATTCCGTGGCCACATTCGACAAGGACTTTGAACATCGCATAAGGGTCATGGATTTCCTCAGTCCTGCAGGCTATGCGCTACCAGCCTGAATGAGTCAAGTGTGTGTTCGATCGTTTCATGCATGATCCGAAATCATGTGGCTGCACCCATCCTAGGCTTGTTCTTCACACTGTTCTGTGTCTTCTTCCAGAATCAGTATGCCTAATGGGGCCGGATTGCAGCAGTTGGGGCCTTCCAGCCCGGGGCACAAGCCAACGGAACTACATGAACAGCCTCGGTGCGGTTCATTTGAAGTGGGTGAATGACTCCAATATTACTATATCTCGGAAACTTGGCTGACAGTTGTGATACCTCCGGCAAATGTGTAGGTGATTCTGGCGTGTGCTTTGTAGTGGGTACCCAGGGCAACCTTGGTTTGTCTTCTTCTATGTGCTCGGCACTGCTACTTCGTCCTGGAACACCCCTCACAATCACTGATCCAGCGGCATCCTAGATGGGAGCACTTCGTGAATATCCTCTGCTGGGTACCGCTACTGCAATAAAGTCATAGTAGCAACTGCCATACACCATTCCCATCCCAGGTATGGAAAGTGACTTTCTGGATGCTGCTCCACGGCGGCTCCACACCGAAGCGCGCGGTGTGCTTTTCGAATGGGGCATGGGTTAATGGGCTGGACCTTGGAAAATTAACGAAGAAGGTGCGAGAGAGGGCAACGAAATTCAAAACCAGTCGCAGGGGTCTTACAGTTGCAGAGCTAGTTCGCATAGTGCATGCGATCTACATATGCATGGTCTCCAGCATCGTTGTTGCACACGCGAGGTCAATGGACTGCTTCGGATGGAGTGAAAAAGTTCCAATGCAACAAGAGGGTCAAGGAAACACAGCGGCAACCCCAGTGGACAGTGTACCTGTATGCTTCGCTATGTAATAAACTACCAGCCGAGGTCATACCCCGAAGGCTTTTGCAAACGATTGCTGGAGTGCTACAACAATCGCGGGTACCCACCAGCAGATCTACGACACAAACGTTCGGTGGATCTTAGTTTGTCGGACCGAAAACTCTGGGAGGAATTGCCTACTGGGGACATCTGGCTTGATGCGCAGCTTCCTAAAGTATGGTCTTATCTCCTGAGCAACCGACATTTGAAGATCCCAGATAGCTGGCAGACAGCAATCGCAGCCTTCGACCAAGAGGTCATGGAGATGGAAGCTTGGTTTGATGGTGTTCGGGGCTCGCTTACACCCTAATCTGATCTCTCTTCCAGGCATAAAGCTAAAGCTTAGAAGCCTAAACCCCCTTAAACGCAAACCCCTGTATGAACATATTAAACCCGAATCCCGGTCTTAGGCCTAAATCTATCCATAGATCCTGAACTGCGGCAAAGCTGTTTTCCCTGCCGGTTGTGTTCCCTTGCTTCCGCAAACACGTACGAAACACAACCACCTCGTAGTTGTGTTAAGTTGTAGTGCAGCAGCTTATATATATATATATATATATATATATATATTTATATAGATCGTGCAATTCCGACAGCAACGAGATCGTGTGAGTACAGGTTTAATTTGGGTTCGTGGATTATGTTGGAACCCCGGCCTGGAATGACACCCAAGATGCGAATGTGAACCCATAGCCCCCTACTGGGCCCCGCTATACTACACTGCTCTATGCTTGGGTGGGACTGGGTGGGCTGGCGTCATGAGCATCAGTGGGTGGGTGGGTGGGTGGGTGGGTGGGTGGGTGGGGTCGGTTTGGGTTCGTAGGGGTGGGTTTACCAACCCAAACGAGAGACACTCCTCGTTTGGATTGAAAACAAGCTCGGTTGGAAGGGGGGAGTGGAGGGCTGATGCGCATGATGTTCGGCCCTGCCCTCTGTAAGGGGGCAACAAGCATGAATTTCGATTGTGGTTCACCAACCCAAACGAGAGACACTCCTCGTTTGGATTGAAAACAAGCTCGGGTGGAAGGGGGGAGCGGAGGGCTGATGCGCATGATGCTCGGCCCCTGCCCTCCTGTCGTCAGGCAAGAAGCATGAATTTCGATTTGTGTGGGGGGTTGGGGGGGGCGGGGGGCTGGTGGGGGTGGGGTGGGGTGGGTGGTGGCTTTGGGTGGTACTTGAGTAGTAAGTATAGAGAAGAAGAGTAGTAGTAGCCAGTAGCAGTAGAACTATCGAACCCTGTCATAAGGTTTCGGCTTAAGCCAGATCCTAGCCTATCCCAGGTTTCTGTGCCGGAGCGAGACCGGCTGGCCTACAATGAGCTGGTGCAGATGGACACAACCGTCTGTGGGTGATTTTCGGGTTGAGATCTTAAATAATTAAAATTAGGAGGCCACGTGCGTTTTGGTGCGTTTGGGGGGCCGGGAAACGTGTGCAATTCAGCGCAAAATGCGCGCAAATCCGCGCAAAAAAGCGCAAACGAGCGCAAATCCAAAAAGTGTATCGAGGAGTTCTGAACTTTCATCCTGCGGAGCGTTCTGTTTGTAGAGTGTTGTGTTTGAAGTCCTGTGTCGTGTTGTGAATGCACATATTCTGCTAGAGCTGGCACTCAGCACCTTTGGTAGCATGCTGTCCCGAACGGCCTCTTGCACTACACTTGCTGAGGGGGTCTCCTTGGTAGGTAACCTAGTTCGATCCAACTCCGCGATGGCAGCTCCTCCCAGCGATCTTGCAGCAATGATTGCTGCTACTTGCATGAATCGGTAGCAACACCCGATCTTATAATAATGCCTAGGCCTAAGACCCTAACCCCGGTACCGTACTCCAGACCAACCTTACTCGCCTTGCCCAGGCCTCTCGCGAGCGCATTGCTGCGCTACAGAGCCGGCTCCAGAAGCACCATAAGCAGTCAGCAGCACCACCTGCTTCGGTTCCAGGACTTCTGCTAGCTCGTGATAAGATCAAGCTTCGGATCGTGAGTGCATATCCAGGAGCCCCTGCGATTGCTGCTGCTGGGGGAATGTTTGTCGCAGGCAATGCTACCGCTGTACCGGAGACCCAGATCGATGAGCCCTTCAACCCACGACGTGCACTGTCGTTCGACAGTGCTTGGAGGGCGGACGACATGATGGAATCCCCGACCCTGCCTGGGCCCGCAGCTGCCGAGGCGTTGAATCCACCGCCTGGAACCACTGAGACTGCCGAGCCAAAGCCCAACCCCAACAAGTCATGCGGCCGTGAGAAGACCAGCCCGAAAAAAACGACCAGCCCGAAGAAGACCAACCCGAAGAAGACCAGCCCAAAGAAGACCAGCCCAAAGAAGACCACCCCGAAGAAGACCACCACATCAGTGGAAGAAATCCCCGAGAAGGCCACCCCAAAGAAGACCACCACGGCAGTGGAAGGAATCCCCGAGAAGGATGCGAAGGTGATTGAGACTCCCGTCCCGAGCTCCCCTACGGATTCCCTGACACCGAGTTCCACGTTGTCACGGGGCGTAAGCACCAACAGTCTGGACAGCAGATCAAGCAAGGTTAAGATCCACAAGTTTGACAAGTACTACCACCAGAACCTCTCATGCATGATTGCTTTTTTCTGTAAGCTTTAACGACCTCCTGATTAGTGTACTGTACGTACTAACCCCGGGCCTAGGCCTAAACCCTAACCCTACTAGATCGCTCCTGTGTTCTGAGGATGAGGCGGTTCTGCAAGCCCACCAATGGCGCGCCCAAGGCATCCAAGGAAGCCCTGAAGCTTTGGCATACCGAGGATGGAAGTAGCTTGTCTACCGCCGATATCATGCACACATGTCAGCTGAAGAGCAGTTCGGGAGTTTTGGTGTGCATGTGCATCCTAGGGGAGAAGCTTCGTAAGCTGCTGATCAAAGAGGGTTGCTTCAAGAATGTTGAGCTGCACTTGGCCAAATACAAGAGCCACGTCGAGAAGGATGGCAGAGCTGGTCGATGGGTGACCAAAGCTTACCTTATGGAAAAATACTCCTACACCCGGTTGCTAGACTGCAGGACTATATGTTATACGTAGGACACTGTTGCTGACGAGTCCGAATCCCCGATCGTGAGGCAGATGGCCGACAATGCCTTCCAGTGGGCAGCGGCTCGCAAGCTGGTGCGTGTCAATGACATGCACAAAGTTGAAGAGGCCAAGCTGGTGTTGGAGGAAACTTTTGCTGTGGAGAACGAGACTGGTGACCGTTCCGAGCTTGTGGGCTCGGCCGAGCTGGAGGCCCATCCTAAGCTTATCCCTATATAGCTAGACCCCGGACCTAGCCTAATTAACTGAGAGAGAGCTGAGAGAGAGAGACAGAGAGAGAGAGGTTGAGAGTGAGAGTGAGGTTAAGGTTCAGCGTGAGGGTGAGATGAAGAGGCCGAGATTCGGTGGTTAAGAGAGTATACGAACAATCTGCAATGTGCATGCGTATGGGTGCGTGTGCGTGTGTGGGGTGTGCATGTGTCCCAAATATACATAGTGTCATGGCACGTACTACAGGCATCGCCGGTGTGCATATGAATCCATTCTCTCTTGACCGGTGTCCCAGTGTGTACTTGTATGCATGTTTGCACAGGACGAAGAGAACTTCTTGCTGGATGACATGGACACACCGGCTGGGGTTCCAGGCACGGTGGACGTCGGCGAGTCGGCCAAGCTCGCCGAGGCAAGTGCATCTGGCAACAGCAAGCAGCTTGACTCGCAAAACCTATATGAGCCCAGACCTGCCAAACTAGCAAACACCTAGCAACCCAGGATGGTGTTCCCTACTTTGGCAAAGAACGACAGCCCCGTCTCCATCTTGCCTACGTTCCTGTCGGTGCTGGGCAAGAAGATTGAAGCTGCAACCACTGCACAGGATTGAACACTAGCCATGTTGATGCATACCTTAGAGTTATACCTGTTTCACGCATGCAATTTTGAGGAGAAGTTGGCCGCCTCTTCTGTGCCTCGTGCAAGCATGACTCTCGATTGCACACTCGGTGAGATCTATCATGGTACCGTTCTTCCATGCGTCTGCTTACCATTGTCCCCTACAGCTTAGGATGGCTGACCAGATGCAGACGATCTTGACGAGCATGAATGCAAGCTATCAGGCTTTGAGTGAGGTGGAAGCCGAGGTCCTAGTGGACACTGAGGGGAAGCTCCTGGGCTTTTAGTACTGCTAGGCTTGCTGAGGAGATGTACCTACGTTGCTGTGTCTTGCTGTGTCCAGACCCAGGAACTTGGAAGCCAACAAACAGAAGATCTTGAATCTCTTCGTGAAGTGCACAAAAGATGATGTGACGCTCAACAACTACAAAACCCGGGCCAAGATTCTTATCTGAAATATTGCATAAACCCGAAATACCATCCCTAGCCCCGTATACTGCATCTAAGGAACATCAAGGCCAGCCCCAGTGAGAAAGCCGAAAAGCCGAAAAAGGGTACCAAAAAGGATTCGAAAAAGAATCCAAAAAAGGATGCCAAGTCGCCAAAGGCGAAAAGGGCCAAGAAGGATAAGAAGAGCAAGCATGATGATGAGTGATGGGTGCTGAGTGTTGCACTTTTCTAGTGGCTTGGGTGCCCGCTTTCAAGGGCACATGTTCCGACGATCCTGTAGGTCTTGATTGAACCATGCAATATGTACACCTATAGCTTAAGGTCCTGTTGCTTAAGGCCCAAAGGATCCCCAAAAGACCGGGAAGATGCAAGGGAAATTGCATCATGCTGGAAATTCGACCTAGCGTGATTGCCCGCTGATCCAACCGAGTAGCGCGGAAAGACCGGATTGCTTTTCAGTGTCTGATGTCTGATGTGGCCAGCACGATTGTTCATATTAGCTATAGTACATACCGGGTTTGGTGGCACAGGCCTCGAACAGCAACGGCGTTCTCGCGATCCCGCCTTCGAATATGGCCTGAGACTCGTGGCATTTGTGCAGTGTCGAGTTACCATGTTCTAATCGTGTAGCTTTGAGGTCCACCTAGTGACGGGGAGTCCGGCTCTGATGACTTGGTTGCTGCTCTGATGGGAGATGTTGAGCAGGGGGCTGCTTGAATGCATTTCGATCATCTCACAGAGACTCTGCGTGTGAAGTATGGGGAGCACAGGCCGATGCCAAGAGTGTGGTCCGGTTCGCAGCAGTTGCATCCCGGAGGATGCGGAAGCTAGGCAGGATATAATCATAGTGATCCGATCGCGGTTCTCACAAGGCTCTCCCAGGGTCCTATATATATATATGTAGTACTTAAGCTTGACTAGGGTTTGGGTGCCGGGTTTTCTGTTTAAGCCCTTTCCTGAAACCCCTAAAGCACCCTCAAACCTTCCAGAGGATTTTGAATTTGGGACCCACGCGATTACACGGCGCTGCTCCAGAAATCTCAAAGCTTTGATACCTAGCAACTTAGCGATAATCTTGGCAGCATTCCGGTCTTTGCGGGATGTGCTGCTGCATTCAGGAATCAGGATGGAGGCCCTGTAACCCCACACTACTAGTATGCATAGTTTCGTAGACTCCACTAGACCTGAGGGGTATAATCCCGAAACACCTAAAGCTCGTCTCCAAGCCCCTTGCTCAAGACCTTCGATATCGGAACTCAACCCCAAAACCGTTCTAGCCCATATAGGATCGATAACCCAAAACCCTCACTCTAGTCCCTTCCATGCCCCGCACAGGTGTCGTCGATGCTGGCTTGGAACGCATTGGGAACCTGGCCACCGGCAAGGACTATCACAATGCTGCTCGGAATCTACATAATTTTCTGCATTCGAGTGGACAAACTTTGCCGGTACGCATCTCTTCTACCAGACTTACAATCCGCCGGCCAAAGAAGGGTGGTGGTGAGTTTTCAACACACTATCCCCTGATCTACCTCTCGAGTTGGATGCAATGTATCTTCGAACATGGGGGAGAATTTCTCTTGGGAGGCTGGACCACTGATCAGTCCAAGGGTTACACTGCGATGTTTGCACGATTCTGGGAACGGTATGAATGCGTGAACCCAGAGCACCCGGTTTTTTTTTGAGAAAACCCGGGAGCAGCGGATGCATTGCATCCCCATGGCAGTTCATGGTGATGAGGGGAGGGGCCTAGGCAAAAATCCAGTGCTGGTGGAAAGCTATCAGCCTGTTTTGCCGTGGAGTGGTGAAGACAACCTGAACATGGCTGGGCACCTAGGCTTTCCCAAACTTCATGAAAGCTTCGTATCAGGTAGTGATACGTATCCCGAAACATATTTCTAAACCCTGAATCAATTGCAACCGAGGCATAGCTATACCACGAGACTACTGGCCTGCATCCTGCCCTCACAGTGTTATGCAAAGCGCGACAAATCGGTGGATGGCCTCCACAAGGCCCTGAGCAAGGACCTGACAGCCTGTTTTGAGACAGGAGTTACCATCGAGGCCACTCGGTTCGGGTTTGGCGAAGGCTAGAGGGTTGAATGTTAAGACGGTGTTACATCGAGGCCAAGGTTGCTGGGTTTGGAGAAAGAGGTTGAAGGCGGGTGCTGTTGTGTAAATAATTACGCGGGTGTGAGTATCTGCGAATCTATGCAAAGGTGAACGGACAGATGAAAACTTTCTGCGTGGCTTTGGTCGGGGCCAAAGGAGACTGGCCGTATCTACGAAAGTTGTACCATTTGGCTGTTGGTTTCTCAGGCACGAGAAAGTGTCACTGCTGTCCTGGAGATGTTGCCTTGGCTGATCGATAGTCACACTTTCTATGTGTAAGGTGTCTGGTAATTCCCCACATGAATGTCATAATATACACCTAGGAGTGGTGGGACGTCGGGCCGACAAGTCAGTTGCGAACATGGACAAGCCCAATCCCAAATCCGTTCAAAGTAAAGTACGCTGCTTTCCGTGATATCCCAGGCATGGACAAGCCTGAGATGATACAACCTGACATCATGCATTGTTACAATCTTGGATTCGGCAAGGACCTAGCAGCATCAGGAGTCATCGCCGTTACTGATGCTGGTTTCTTCGGTGAAGGCTCCATACCACTGCGACTCGAGAAGGCTTTCGTTGCCTTCATGTCATGGTGTGAAAACAATGCTTATACCAGCTCCATCAAAGAGTTCGACCTCAAGAAAACTTTCAAGATGAAGTCGCACCTTGCCCCTTGCAATAGGAAACCGTAAACCGTAAACCTGTCCTAAACCCCAAAACCTGAAACCATCCTACACTTAACCCAATGTCCATCCGAGGCAACGGCGATGGCCGGTGGGCTGTGGAAAGGCATATGATGTCGCCTTGGTCAGCAAATGGCTGGCGCATGAGCTTTCTGTTCGGAGACCAGCACCCAGCCTACAATTAAACCTACACGCCCTTTGATCTAGAACAGTATAGGGTTACGGGGCAAGTGTCATGTTACATAGGTCCCCCGACACTAGGCCTCGGACCCTAAGCCCTTTAAAAGCTTCGCCGACACCTGGACCCTAAGCCCTTCAATAGCTTTGCCGGTACCCCGCAAAGTATATACTAATGCTAAGCTGGGCCGGTGCAATCAGAACTTCAGAACTTCCGCTTCTCCTGTGTTTCCTAGTCCACGTCTCCGGGTGCTAAACAATTTAGGATTAGGCTTGGGTGATCTTTCAATCAGGAGGGTCTCTCTGATTCCCTCGAGCTCCTGCATTTTACGCTGGAGTCTGGGAATCGCTTCTTTCGCACGATCTACAATCAAGGGGCATGGATACCGGTGGAAGTGGCGAGGACTGCCGTGCAGAATGGTTACAATCTGATCGAATGCTGACTGCACAGCATACATGTATTAAGCTAGGTTTGAACTTTCGCGAATCATATGCTATGTGGTGATGCTTCTTTCTCGTTTCCAAGGAAGGATACTGCGCTTTGGCACGCAATGCTGCTGAGAATGACATGGTTCTTTACAGAATCAGACCGAAGGTCCACCTAGTGGGCCACATCGTGTTTCCTGGCTTGCTTGTAGAGATTCCTTTTGCATGGCCAGCGCAAGGAGTGCACACGCACACACACACACACACACAAATCACTTCCGAGGACTACAATGCATCAGCAGATCAATTCCGACATCTCCCGTGGATTCGTTTTAAATCCCTGCTGTTTCTTTGCTGCAAGACTACTGCAATGCAATCTATGATCAACCTCCACAATCATCTTAGGCTTCGCAACCTGGTCCGACGAGGACTACATTGGGCGCATCTCCCGAACTAGTCGTAGAGTTGGATCCTCTCGACTAACTGCGATGAGGACAACATCCAGGACACTTGTGAGTTATCGTCGTTTCTTTAAACGGCACTTCGTAAAGTGCAAAGACCTGTGACTGGTCGAAGCTGAGCTCGCTGCTGCCAAAAAACCGATGTCCGGGTCGGCGTCGACAGCAGTTGTGTGTGTCTGTGTGTGCGCATATGGGTGTGATCGGCTCGCATTGGGACCGGAAGGCCGGATGCTTAGCTTTGGGGTTTTGCGCTTGGGATGAGGTGCATTTCGGGGAAGATTGGTATATAGTTAGGCTTAACTGATCACTTTTGGGAATTGCAGGATCCTTACGTGCACTTATTGTTCTAACGTGCGGAAATCCCAGAACGTACCTAAAACACGAAGTTCGCTACAGAAATTTGCAAAGCCATCCACGAGCATAAATTTAAGTAGCGTTAGAGGCCACAGGTATCTTTCTGTCTATCTATCCATCTGTCGGTCTATGAAAATACCCACTTTCTACGAGCACGAATGCTTTTTGCATGGGTTTAGGGTTTAGGGGTTAGGGTTGAGGGCTTAGGGGTTTGGGGTTTACGGGTTTACGGTTTAGGGCAAGTTTAGGATTTATTATGGTATTCGACATCAACTGGAGCCAGGCCCCAAGCCCTGCACCTGGGGTGGTAGCCTTATTCCGTGAACTGCAACACGCAGCCTTGATGTTGGCAGAAAAGACCGTTGCAAGCACTGCCTTCTTACAAGGCTGCCGTCACCCCTCTGCTACCCTGCCCGACAACTTGTGAAGCGACAGGACTTGCACCACCAATATGAACCAACACAGCATCGCCATCGCCATCTTCGTCATCATCACCGTCAACGCATCATCATCATCATCGTCATCACCATTATCACCATTATCACCGTCATCATCATCACCATCAGCAGCGGCAGCCTCTTCATGATCATCAACATCTCCATCACTATCACCTTCCGCACCCTCTTCGTGATCATCATGGTCAGAATCAGCAGCAACAGCATCACCATCGCCATCGCAGTTCTAATTATTGTTATGCTTCTGCATCGCAGTCTTTGATTGTGAAATATCGTGCCCGTCATCGTCGTCGCTGGCATCATCGTCAAAAGCACTGACACCACCAAAGCCACCTTCATCAGCCGCATTCCCACCGCTTTTGAATTCATGGCCGTGTCATGACCATCAGCGTCTTCTCCGTCGTCGCGCTCGTCACCACCACCTGCTGCCTGCATCACCATCGCCAGAAGCATCATCAGCAGCGGCAGCCAACACGTGTTTTCTGTGTACAACCAGGTGCAAACGCAAGTCATCGTCAGCATGTAGCCACCCGGATCTCATCATACTGCTTCATCAACAGCATGCTTTACGGCTGAGTCCTGTTCAACCTTGGCTAGCTGAACAATTCACATAATTACGCATGGGTGATTGTCAAAATTAGGGTCCCTTAATATAGGTGCCGTATTGCAATAAGGATCGAAAAAGGGGCCCTAATTTTGACAACCACCCGCATAAGGGTGACCAGATGTCGTGGCACATGCAGACATCCTTGATGTTGTTGGTGCGAGGCGGAGTATGGGAGTTTCCGAAAATAGGGGACCCAAAAAAGTACCCTAATAGTAGGATCCTTATTCTTAGGACCCCAAAGTATGGTACCCCAAATTCGGAAACTCCCGTATGACGACTATTACAGTACGCCAGTGCGGCAGTATGCTTGCATAGAGGAGAGCTCCCCCAATGAGCGTCTGACGATCCTGCTTGCCTGCTTTAGTAACCACACTCCACCAAAAAGTCCAGGTTTGCAGCCCAAAAAGGGCCTTCAGTCCCAAATCCAAGCTTGAAAGTCATGCACACTGAAACGCATCATAACCTCAGAAAAAGCTTCGAAGAGTTGACTGCAAAGATCTCAACCAGCTTGTCAAGGGCTCCGACTCGCGGCGGTGGTTCGAAGCTAGCTCTCCGATGGACAGCTTCTTGCCGCTGCTGCTCCTGAGGGCTTTCCATTAGAGGGGTCTAATATAGGGACCTTAGTATTGGAATAGAGTTTGGGCCCCCATTATATTATAGTCATAGTAAGGAACCCCCAAAATAGTATTGGTAACTATTGAGGTCCTTATATTAGTGTTCAGGGCTTACCCTAGGGCATCGCAAAATCTGAGGCCAGCTGTAGGGTTTCAGGGTCTTGGATTCATGTCTACGGCTTTGGGCAGATCTATTGTGAGTGTCACGGCTCCGGGCACATATGTCGGACTAAGGCTTAGGCTGTTGCCCTCGGTAACATGGTTGCTTCCGTTGTTCTGTTGCCGCCCTCGCTGCGGCTGTCACTTGTGTCGCTGTTGCTGTTCCTGTGTGATCGTGCTGCGCTCCGCTTTACTCGCCGCTACTCAGCACTGCACATGCATCTGTGCGCACAAGAAATGATGAGACGGCGTTCTGAAGAGGCAGCCACAAGAATGATGAGAAGAGTGCTCAAACAACATCCGTGCATAGTGACCTGCAGGAGGGCAAAACTGCTTATGCACTTGGAGGGTCGGGGGACTTAGTAAGTAGGTAGTAAGTAGACTTATAAGTACCTTAAAAGGGACCCTAATTAGGGTTATGGTACTTAGAAGTCCCGAAAATAACCAGTTACTAAGTCCCCCGACCCTCCAAGTAGGATGTTGAAGCTTTGACCTTCGGGCTTGTTTTGCCCTCAAGAACGTAGAATTAGAAGTAGAAGTAGTAGTAGTAGTAGTAGTAGCAGTAGCAGTAGTAGTAGTAGCAGTAGTAGTAGTCGTCGTCGTCGTCGTCGTGGTAGTAGTAGTCGTGGTAGTAGTAGTAGTAGTAGTAGTAGTAGTAGTAGTAGTAGTAGTAGTAGTAGTAGTAGTAGCAGTGATTCAGATGTACTGGCACACCAGGTTCGGCCCGAATCGAGAGGACTCCTCATCACTCGCATGTGAAACTTCAGTTTGCCATTGAGGTGCTGCCGCATTATGACCCTAAGACTCCATGTGCCCGTATAAGAGGTACTTAGGCCTTAAAGGGGTTCCTATATGGGTACTTTAAGGCCTAAGTATCTACTTTATGCGTACATGGAGCCTTTGGGTGATTTCTACAATGGCTTTCCAGCAGCGTCTGCAGAAATCTACACAAGCTCAATTGCCGACTGTACTGCTATGCTTGCCCATCTGTTATATTTCTAGGACTTTCACACCAACCCAAAACCCCCTAAACCCCTAAACCCTCAAAACCCCTAAATCCCTAAACCCTGAACCCGTAAATGCTGAAGCAGCCCAGTGCAGCTGCAACGACACGTAGTCCGACAGTAGTCCAGAATTAGGATTTCGGATTTAGGGGTTAATTAGGGGTTTAGGGGTTTAGGCTTAGGGGTTTAGGGTTTAAAAGGGGTTTAGAGTTTCGGGCCTGGGGCCTTAGAGCCCAAAGTGCGGTCCAAGCGGCTCGTTGTCTCAGCAGCGATTGGCTCCGTGCGGCAATGCGCTGCCTGGCCACAAAAGCTTCAAAACACATGAGCTGCACGACCTTTATACAACTAGGGTACCTTATTTTGGGGTCCTTTTAGGGATCTATGAGGGTTCTATAAAGGGATTAGGTTTTAGGGTTTAAAGTTTCCGCAGTTCCTGGGAAGAGGGTACCTATAAGGGGCCCTTTGAAGGGCTACTATAGGGAATTAAGAGGTTCTCTAAGTTATGGTAGTTCTGCTATGGGTTTAGGGTTTAGGGTAAGGCCCCTTTATATATGGGAATTTCCGAAAACTAGGGGTACCTTATTTTGGGGTCCGTATGAGAATGATCCGACTATTTAGGTACTATGTTGGGGTCCCCTATTTTCGGAAACTCCCAAAGACATGTAGTGATTACAGTTATCAACAAACTGGTTATTGCCATCAGTATCAGCTCTTTGTTCTGATTCTACTGTTATTGCCAATGAATGATGATATAATCAATGCTCTACCCGCCAGATGGCTATCCTGCTCAGCCTCTCAGACTTCTGAGCCGCTACTTAGACCCTGAACAAGGGCTTAAGGGTGCGCGGCAGGGGTTTAGGGTTTCATATAGGGGCCTTAATAATTAGAATAGGGTTTTGGAGCCCATTCTACTATAAACATCTTGAAGAACCACCAAAATGGTATGGTTATTTATTTCGGCCGCTGTTACTAAACCCTCATAGTAGCCCTTGTAGCAATCCTTATCGACCCCTTAAAAAGAACCTTATACCTAACCCTTTAAAGGCCCCTATGGTAGGGTCATTACCTCCGGAAGATGGAGACTGAAGCCCTGGCAAGCCTTTCCCTGGGAGACAATCGCCGCGACTCTGTTGGGGCCTGGGCACGGCATTTGGGCCTTCGGAAGGGGGTTTGGGTGTAAGGTTTAGGGTTCAGGGCACAGGAGTTTGAAACCGATACCTTGAATTCTGAACCCTGAACCCTGAATCCTGCACCAAAAAGACTCATCAAAAGACCCAAGCCTGGACCTTTCGACTTTTGGAACTGCTTGGTCGCGAGTGAGTTGGGCTCTCGCGGTCGCGAGTGGTTTGAGCTCTCGTGTTGC